GGCTAGCAACAGCTGAGATGGACTTCCCTTGTTCCTAAGGAAAAAATCTGTTACTCTGCAGCCATGAAATAGTGTTTTCTAGTTCTCATAAAGTCCCTTAGAAGTTTCAGAAAAGTAACGTACTACTGAAGTATCAACACACAGAATCTTAAAAGACTCATTTCTTGTTAAGCTGTCTCAGCTTCAGCCTACCAACTGAACCAGCCCAGCTTGGGTTATATTTCACTCACTTTTCCAAAATCCACTACTGCTGAGTCCGGGATTATCCCCGTCTAAAAATTCAGTCCTCCTGTGTCTGAAGGTGAAATTTGGTTTAGCAGCAGGAAGGTGTTAACACAACCGCATTGTGGAGATTAACATTACAGTAAATCCTCAAAAGAACCAGAAATATCCAACACACTCAAGATATCTATTTTTGATGAAAGCTTCAAGAAAGTAATAAAAGAATAGTAGGTCAGTTATTAATTTTTCTTGGAACACCAACAAGTGCTTGGCAAGAAGCAACATGTCTGCAATATAATTTTTTACTTTTTATTTAATAAGAATCTCCATATATCATTTACTTTCTCTTACTCAAGCTCAGTATTTATTATTTCACCTGCTTTGAACTAGGAACTGTGATCTCATTAATAAAAGGTTAGAAATAGTGTTTAGCTTCATCGTAGTTCCTGTAAGTATCCCTGTACCAGAACTGAAAAAAGAGCATGTGATACACAGCAGCAGCATTTGTGGTGATTCACAACTTATGCCCCTCCCACGTCAAAAGACCTATAACTACCCATACACACGAGTGAGAAAGGGTAGAAGGGCTCCCCTTTTTCTGTGCTCAGGTCCTAACAGGGGACACAGCTGCTATCCTGGCACCTTTGAGCAGTTAAGATGTTCCTGGTTGTACTTGCTAGCCTGCAAAGAGAGTAAGAGCACAGAAGGTGGTAGCATCACCCTCTAACTGGCCAGGTTCTCCAAGCAAATAGCCACTATGCCAAAAAAAATGCTGTGTCCACCACACGTGTCTAAAATGCATCAGCTCTTCCAGCGTGACAGCATGGCAACATGACAGTATGATTAAATGACTATCTTTACTCATATTAGCTTTAATGTAATGAAAGCTAAGGTAAAAAGAGTAGTGATACCTGATGAGGGTTTGCAACATGAGCAACTCAGCAAAGGAAGAGCTCATTTCAGACAAGAGTCTATGTCATATCTTATGAAGTGTGGTCTCCCTTTTTCTGCTAACAAGTCCTGTGCTGCTACCCCCCTACAGTGCTGTCTGCTCAGCTTCTTGGAAATATCTAGTTCTCATAAAGCATACTTACTCCTTCACTATGCTAACAACAACATAAGCAGTTTTAGTATATACTACTGTCTCTGGTGAGTTGATGTGTGTAATGTCCCACAACACTAATGGTGAGTCTGGAAGCATTTCAAGAGAGTCTGAAAATCTTTTAAAGAACCTGTGGCTCCATCATCTTTCCAGTCATTTGAAATAATCCCATTTAAAATCCAGTTGCTTAAAACTAAACCACCAGAAAAAATATACTAGATGTAAATGGATATATTGCTCAGAAAAATAGTGAGCAACTGATAGAAAATACATGATTTAATAAGGGATATGCTGTCTGTTGTATTAATCTTTGATCCATACGGTTAAAACAAAACAAAACATTTGTGTCTGTTAGCTACAGACTGTTTAGCCCACACTGGCCACACTAGAGAAGAGGTTCATGCTGTAGAATTACTACCTTTTCTATTTAATCTGTCAGAGCTACAAGAAGTAGATTGGAGAGGAAAAGATCGTGCATCAACTGCTAGACAGCAGCCCAAACAAATAGCTGTGCAAAGTGAAGTGGACCTGCTCACCTCAGGTTTCAGACACATATTTCATTGGTATCTAAACTTCATCAGTTTATGAATACACAGTCATCCAGTTTGAAAATTTTCCAATCTGAGCTTAAAGGTTTCACATTAATACTTCTGTTACTGCAAGAAATCAAAGCAGCAAAGAAATAAACCCCTTTTCCCTAAAGCCTCCCGCAGAGCTGTCATTGCTGCTTCACACAGCAACAAACCAAACTAAGATGTGTTTGGAACCACTGACTTAAAATCCGAAGTATGTGCACTCAAGTATGGGTGCTAGTCATGCATGTGCATAATCATGTTAAAACTGCGAACCCATGAGCCTAAGCTCAGACTCAAATCACAGTTCTCTGAAATGACTCGGACAACATAGGGAAGAGCTTTTCCTGATAGCTTCTACCTCTTCTACATCTTATCCTCATATAGTGTGTTGGGGGATGAAGAAGAGAAATATGATTAAGGTATTTCAAGCCTGACATGAATATTTTTCCAGTGGAGAGGGTTTTGATAATGTAGGCTTGTGGACTGAATTTGGAATTTGCTTTGCTTCTGTAATTGGGCTTCTAATGCCAGCGAAAGAATCAAGGCCTGAGACGCAAACTAAAAATACATTTCAAGGGAATGCACACATCTGTGGTACGGTAAAACTATTAGGTTACTGAATGCCTGTTTTGAATTACATCAAGTCACCTGAAGACCATATGGCTAATGGAAATTTTTTAAGCTAACATTTACTGCCTTGCACAGTACCAGGAAAGTTTGTTTTGTTATTTTAGCTAAACCTATATATGTAAACTCAAACGTTTTCAACTTCTTGTAATCAATAGCTGAAGGCCAAATGCAACCTGCTACAAATGCATAATCTGCAGAACAGCGAGCCGTCTTCTAGTGAAGAAGCATGTCTGCATTTTTAGAAGTGGGATGAATAAAGAACCAGTCACCTAATCCCTAGACAGTGTCACCGATTCTTCTCAGAATCACTAGGGGAACCAGGACTAAGAATCTTAGAAGTAGATGCTGAACTGACGACTCAGGATTCTAACTTTAGGAGCCAATATTTGAAAATACTGACCTATATGTCTGTCCCTATGAGGAGAAAGCTCTAGCAAGCTTAATTTCCCCATGCACTTTCCCATGTACATCCCACAGTGTTTGAGGGTTGCAGATGGAGAGAGCTGACAGCAGTCCTAAAAGCAGTTTTCTTGCAAAGTGGCATAAGATCTTTGATAAAATGTCAAACAGAATTTAATCATTTTCTAAGCACATTCCCACATATACATGCAACAATTAGTGAAATTACTGCCCAAATCAGTTGTTTAACACAGCTAGTGAGCCTTTGCCTTTGTCCTTACACTGGCAGAATACAACTTTGGCTCTGTATTAATGTCAACACCATTTCGTCAGACTAGCACGGTGGGGAGCAGTCCCAAAGTCTCAGTTTTTTTCCTGATTCCTAAGAAAATCTGACCCTTTTAGACTAGGATGTCCGTCATGATATAAACTAATTTAAAGTTTGCATTGTATCTCAGGCCATTCTGAATATATATTTCTCATTGCTGGGATGTTTTGTGCCTCTCCTGGCCCAGGATTTGTAATGTTTGTTCACCGCTGCTTGAAGTTGGTTTTCTGTAGTGAGTTTTGAGTAGTCTGTCTCAAGAATATTTACTCTCAATAACTGATCACGAATCTGTAAGTGCTGTAGTGCACATCTCAACACTAAATACACATTTAAGGCAATAGGAATTGATGGGCATAGGTAAATAATGGCTACCTGGACATACAATTGTACCTAATGCTTTCAAAAATAGCCATTTTTTACTTCCAAGATGCTTTTCCTGTTTTCTGCCTTTCTAACTTCTACAAGAGAGAAACAGCACTGGTCTCTCAGAGCTACCACTTAGTTTATTATTCATATTCTTGCTTCATCCCAGTGAGAAAAGAGGACCCTCCCCAGATGGAAAAGGCTGCATTATGCATTCTGTCTAATAAAACATGGGGTTTTATGTTCTGGTTTGTTAGGAGTAACACAGCTTATCAATGAGCTGCACTAGTCTAAAATTGAGGACAGTTTTTTAAAGAATCATTATTCAAAAGAATTACTGTAATGAAAAACACATGCCAGACAGATTTATACTTTGATATTTTAGTTTATTTCTATATCTTTACATTAATTTCCTAAATACCTAAAACATGTATAGGATAAAGGCCTTTCCTATGCTTGTACCTGCTATGTTTTCTGAGGTGGCCTTTCAGTGCGCAGCAGTATGTTGCTCTCCAGCACAAACATTCATTATTTGAACCTGATACTGCAGTTGCTGTGACTATGGCTGTAGTGCAAAAAATACACCTGTTCAGGGACCATCCTCTGGCCCTGAAGCAAAGATCTGGCCTGATGCTGTCTGCACTAGGTACCACCTGTCCTTCAGGTGTCCTTAAGGTCCAGCATGGTATCCCTGAGACTCTAACATATAATTATCATTATAATATGTGCTCAAAATGTCCACAGCAATACATAAGTGAATCACAGCTTATAAAAACAGTGATTTTGTAGCATGGAAATAAAATTAGGGTTGCCTTGGGTTTGATATGCTGACATGTTTGAGGTACAAAATCTGCTAGTACAGTTTTGGAGAACTGAAAAAGGTAGAGTGAGGCAAGTCTTGTCATTCTTGTTCATACCACCCTTTTGGGAATGGTCCTTAATGCTCCCAAACCCAAAATCTGAATCTGATCATTATGGCAGAGCATGCTAGTTGGCACAGAAGAAATCATGCCAGTAAGCTACTGAGTAATCAAGCAACGCAGATGATCAGAGTATATGTTTCCTCCACAATGCCTGTTACATAGCCAGGTTAAACACTTCCATGACTTCCAATGGTTGAAGTGTGCAGGACTCAGGTGTGTTATGTTTATCTGGGTAAATACATCTGCTGTTCAGTTTTCCACCTGAGACCATTAATTTTGATTTAATTATTCCTGATTTCTACTGCTGACTGAAAAGTCAAAACTCCCATTTTGTAATACTTAACCCATGATAATAGGAAAATCACCCCTTTTTCCAGCTCTGAGTTATGGGGCTGCATATTGCCTCATAGACATGTCCAAACCTGCAATCCATAGCCTGGCAGGTCAATTCATCTTACCTGTATAACATTTCCAGGGATATATTCTTTAGAGAGCCTTTGTGCCCGTCTACCCTCAGGCATGGTCTCTTCTGGGACCCCATAGCCTTCAATAAGGCTGGTAGGTGGGGCTGCAGAGGAGGGGATCCCTCAGTAGGCAGAGCAGCTGCAAATGTTGAGAGGATGGTTATCATCAAGGTTTTCTACCATCAACACACACAACCGTAACTGCACTTTGTTAAAGACTAGGTCTTTCCAAAATTACACACATTATTCAGGGCTGGAATTAAGAGATTAAAAGGAAAATGAACAGTTAGCAAAGACGGGAAGGGAAATCTTAGCTTCTGTTACCACACTTAGCTGCTGAGGGAAGACAGCTAAATTAAGTCTGACTTCTTGAGCAGATGATCATGCACACAGCTGTTAATTTGGGATGAAGGAATGCACTTCGCATGAACTCCAAAGCTGTCTTTAATTACTTTTTTAAAACTTTTTGATTAATTTTTTTTTTTTTTTTAGAATTCACAACATGTTTCTGTTTCTTTCAGAGAACAATATAAGCACTTTTCAGTGGCCAAAACCAATATGCCTAAATTCCACTGGATTTTAAGCAAAGACTGCACAGACCAATGGATAAAGTGTCTGCCTTGTATTTCAAAGTGCAAAGTTCAAATTTAGTAGGTACTTGTATTTTTAAATTTTAACTGGCCAGATTCTCAGTTTGGGTAAACCAGCAAAGCTCTACTGATGTTAAGGGAACTACGCTAAGCTGCATTAGCTTAGTATCTGGCTTCACAACTTTTTTTCCCTTTGTATTGAATTCCACCTTCAGTAGTCATGCACTAATAATTCATTTGAAGGCTGTAACTAAGTGGGTTTTTTTTTTTCTTTTATTATAAGTAAAAATATAGTCTATGAATTTGTGAAAATGAGCAGGATCTGTGAAGGAAAGGTTGGAGGCATAAAAAGATACTAAAGCTGGACTTCCCCAATTCAGACTTTTACTGAAGTCGGTGGAAACATTGACAGAGTAGAGAATGAGCAAAATCATATGGACAGAGTGTCTTCTGTCTCTGCAATGCAGAAGAGGATGCAATGATCTCCTTCCCTATTTTACACTCAAACACAAGGCTGTTCAGAATTAGAAGGTGACAGCAACATGATTTTTGCCATCAATCTCAATGTCTACAGCTTCCAATACCAGCCTGAGGCTACACCAGACTCCCTGATCTGCCTATTCCCTAACTGTTAACACCCATGAACAGCTTTCACTGCCAATCCCTTTGCCATCCGCTTCCTTGAATTTAATGTTTGTTAAATTCTTGTGTTTAATTGTATTTAATGTCTGCATCTAACAAGCTATGCAAAATCCTGTGTATTCTGTGGGAGCAATTGCTGGGGCCAGGTTTGCTGAACGGATGAGCTGCAAAATTGAGCCTTGCTAAGGCTGTCCCTCAAGAATCAATATGAACCTATCCAGTGAGACCAAGATTTTATCTTTTAGTTCTATTATGAAGCTTTGATGAGCACATCCTAGCCTGTAACTAAAACTGTTTGCAATGAAGAGTTAGTTATGCATCTGTCAGATGTATAAAACTTAGCATATATGGGTGTACATAACTCTAAGCGAGATGACAGAACTGAACACAGCAGAGCTGTGGGTCTGCCCTGTTAGGTAGCTAATGGCTATTCAGTGCTAAAAGAGACAAGTAGTGGAGTGAATGGACATGAGAGGTCTCCTTAGGAGTCTTCAAGTGTGTTTCTGGTGTCACAGCAATCCCTGTATCTTATTCAATTTTATTCAGGTAGAAATGCAGTGCAAATCTATCTGAATAAGGACCATGAGGTTCCATGAAGACACAGAGGGGCAAGGCAGGGGGCCCTTGGGCACAAAGGCAGCCCTTAGCCAGGCAGATCCATTGAGTCTCCCTGTGTCCATCTTTCTGAAAGTCCCTCTAGTAGTCCTTTCAGCAAATGCTAGATTTTTTATTCAAAGCTTTACAGAATGATTAATCTTGCAATGTTTTTAAAACCCTTTAGAAATTGATAAAACAAGAAATAACTCAATTTACACTGTGTAATCAAAAGACAATTTGGAAAATGATCACAGTCCAGCAACATAAGGGTATTTTCTGAGCTAGATACCAGCAACAATAATCAAGCCTTCACACGTAATTGAAATGATGACTTTTTTTGCCAGGCTTATAATAAGTTAGGCCTTGTGTTATGTGATTACAGTACATGTATGAGAAACATAAATACCCTATGACATAATAATTGAAAACTTATATGACAGTGTGTGAGACTGAAAGGATGACCTCTTGAGCTTTTTCCCATTTCTTGTCTTTGCTTCTCTGGCAGTGAGTTTGCATGTCTGAATTTCATCTTGAGATCCTATGCTTTTACTTATAATGTAAAAACTAGATGTGCACCTAAATTACAGACCTTCATCTATTATTTTTGAGATCTTCATATTCATTTCTATATTTCCATATAGTTTTCAAATAGCATTGGACTGGTACTGCACAGATCAGTGTGATTTTTTCACATGGTTTAAATTAGCTTAGCTCACATTTATCCAACTTCATGAACAGATTCAGTTTGTTGTAGTTGGATTAAATTTAGTAAGTACATAATCAGATAGGCACGAAAACAAGGTATTTTTAAGCCAAGAAAGACAAATTTGTCCTCACTTACCTCCTGTGGAAAGCCATTAGTAGAAAGGAGGGCAGAAATTGGCTTTGTGTACTGTGGAAGTCACTGCAATGCTTTGGCCAATCACTTTTCTCCAGCTTAGCATGGTTAAGGATGCACAAGGTGACAAGTCCAACCAAAATTTTGACAATGGATTCACTGGCTGGCAAGTTGCAATTCTTCCATTTAATTGAAGCCATTGCAAAGTCCACAAGACTCCCAGAAAGCACCATACTTCGCAGAAGTTGCAGAATCATCGGAGATAGGAAATTATGAGAATATGGGAAAGTGAAGTCCATCATGACCTTCTGCAGCAGTTAGAAAATGACAACGTGAGGCTCAAGGGAGACCTTATTGCACTTTACAACTACGTGAAAGGAGGTTGTAGCAAGGTAGGTGTTGGTCTCTTCTGCCAAGTAACAGGTCATAGAATGAGAGGAAATGGCCTCAAGTTGCACCAGAGGAGGTTTAGATTGGATATTAGGAAACATCCCTTCACCAAAAGGTGTGTCAATCATTGACAGGCTGCCCAGGAATGTGGTGGAGTCCCCATCCCCGGAGGTATTTAAAAGATGTATAAATGTGGTAGTTAGGGACATGGTTTAGTGGTGGCCATGGCAGTGTTAGGTTAGCTGGACTCGATCTTAAAGGTCTTTTCCAAACTAAATGATTCTATGATTAAAAAAAAAAAAAAAAAGAAAGAAAAAAAGAAAAAAAAAAAAAAAGGCTTAAAAGTGTAAAAATTAACAGAAGTGCCTTAACATACAATGACCATGTTTCCTTCTCCATAAGATAGGACAGGTGCATGTGATGTCATGGGGTTTCCCATACTCACTTCTATGAAAGTCCCTCTGTGCAAGCACTACTCCGTCAGTCACCACAGCTCTTTCAGGAAAGCTGTGAGGAAGGGGGAGAGCAGCTGCAACCTGCAGCATCATTTCTAGAGCTGTCTGGGCATTTTGTGCCACAGATTGTTGTGTGGACTGATTCATTAAAACCTATTTATGGGAAAGGCTTGAATGTTATCCCTTGTTTCAAAAAGAACCCCCCCCCCAGCCCTTTCAACTTGCTGAAATATCCTTTGTGGTTGCCTTTGGAAGGTGTGAAAAATCTTTCAAAACTTTTGGAGGTTTTGAAGTCTAAGTAACTTCCTGTTGAAAAAGAAGCTAAAAACATTCAGAGAAAAGGCATCATTGGAATAAAATACATTCTTTGATCCAACAAAAGCATTTGGATTGCTGATTGGTGAAAATTTCCAAAAATCTTTGTTTTCCTCCTTTTTCAGGAGGGGAAAATTTTTTGAAAGATTGAAACTTCTGACAAATAAATAAAAATGTTCCTTTAGTACTCAGATCACATCCTGAAAAGTTGTGGAAAAGGCTCCATTTAGCTGAGGATTTCTCAGTTCTCAGACTTCTAACTGCAAATAAATATAATACAGATATTTGATGGACAGCTCCTGAGAGGGTGCCTTTATGGGGAGACACAGTGGACTGCAGTCCTTTCTTCAGCCATCTATCACACCAGGAGGTTCCTATTACATGACTAAGACCATCCAAGCAAAGCTCCCCCTGCTTCACCTCTGCATTCACAAAATGAACCCAACATTCAGCCTCGAAATACTAGCAACTTCCCTCTAAATAAAGAGACACAGGAAAGGCCAGGCTGTCCACTTGCTCTGCCTCATGTAGGTGGCCTCCTGGTGGCCACACATTTTGGTGGAAATGACACTTTCCAAAGTTTGCAGATATTTCTCTGAGATTTGCTACTGAAAGGCTTGGTTTGGTCTTTGGTGTGTTATGTTTTGTTTTGCTCAGAAATGCTATGTATTCCATTATGCTGTGGTATTTGTAGTATGTTGTGAACTTTAACAAGACAGACAGAACACAGATTCCACAACTGCTTCTTGGCTTCATGTTTGGGTTTTTTTATATCTCTTTTATGTCTGAAATCTGCCCTAACAAAACAAAGCACTTTCATCAGGCCAAGCCTTAAAAAAAAATACACTGGCACAGATGTATTCTTATGCTATTTGTGATTAATATGTATAGTGTTAGTTTAGTGCCATCAAGTGACCAAAAATGTGAAAAAGCACTTCTATGTGGGTTTTTGGTTTCAGATTTTTCTCAATCAAATGAAAGCTGACCTGTTATCCTTTTGATATAAGTACAGGGCAATAGCTTCACAGGCTTCTGGCGGTCTAATTCTAGGGCATTTTTAGTAGGAATCTCAAGGTTATCTTCAAAATTTCTTGCATACATTGGTAAATCAAGGCCTCCTCTGTTTTGAAGAACTTCACTCACCTCCCTGGCTGAAATCCTTGCTGTATAGAATTTAAAATGAGGTCTCACTTGGGTGAAAACTCTTAACAATTTTTATTGTACGCTGGTATCCCTAGGCTCTGACAGAGGGTTTTTTAATGAGGGATATCATGAACTGGGTGTACAAACCCTTATTTTGTTTTCTGACATGCAGAAGCTAGCTCTGTCAGGAACAGAAATCCTAAATGGATTGGAATGATACATCAAGGAAAAAGTTTAGTACTTAGTATGTCCACTTGTATGACAAAACACCATATGAACAAGCATAGCTAATGTAAATTTCTAAGAAAACATTTCTACAAATTATTTTTCCAGATTGTACCTATCAAAACCATACTTAAATTAATTTTAAACACTCATTAGTGAAGTAGATAAACACATATTAAGTTTCTGATTTGCTAGGGTAGGACCAGTCTCAGAGGCGTTCTTCTCTGAGGCGGAGGAAACGCGCTTTCTCTCGAGTCTGTCGTACTGATTTTCCACCAGCAGCTGGAGCTGTGTATCAGCCGCCAGGACAGCGTAAACCCTACAACGGGCAGAAAAGCGATGCAAAGACTTTAGAAAGCACACTTGAGGGCAAAGGGAGAACCCGGGAGAGCCGAGCATCAGCCGACAGGACACGAAATGCAAGCATTTTAAAAATCCCAGGTCATGCCTTCAAGAATACTGGTCTGCCAGGGCTTGCTGTGGTCGAGAGCACAATATTACTACAAATCATGTTTGTTACCTGGCAGCCCCAAAAAGCAGAAATATCTTAGGTGCTTTTGTAAAAGACTTCTTGTGATACTTCACCTCATCTCCCCCTTTACAAAGTAATTCCTGTATTGTGTGTAGACAGTTAGCACTTGTGGTTATAGCTTCTGCTGAAATATAAGGAAGAACAAACCTTTGTGGTGTTGCTAATTCACAAGAGCGTATGGTTTACAGTTACATCTATTTTGTGATAAGCTTGCAAGAGCTGAAAGCTCTGCACATACCCTTTAGCCTTTAAAGTGGTTTCATGCGCTGCCTGGGAGCATCCTAAGTGCACGGGGAGCTGTGTAATCAGTATTCATATATTTAGACACTATCTATAGTTTAAATGCATATTTAAATGTGTGATAACTTCCTTTTTTTTTCAGTGTATTTCCTCCCACTTCGTTTCTCACTTTCCTGTGAAGTTATAAAAATTTAGAATTAAAAAACTGTTTGCTTCTTAATGAAGTTTCTGCATCTCTCTAGAAAAAGGTTGTGAAGAAAAAAAGCTGTTATATATCTGGAGACATGTGACAGTGACAAGAGCACAGCTAACAGCAGAAACCAGCCAGAGAAACACCTGTACCAGTTGGCAAGAGATATGCATCTGCCGGAAAAAAAATGAAAAGCATGTTTTAAGAGACAAACTCACTTAAATAACACTCCTAAATGACAAGGTTTCAGATTCTTGAAGGATTCAGATGCTGGTCTAGTGAGTAGTACTGGTCAGAGTAGAGGAAAATGTGAATGTCAACCAGTTTATAAAGTAGAATTTTACCTTGTCCATCATGACATTTCCTTTTGCTAACAGCATCTGCTTATGGTCTTATAACTTCATTTAGGCTTTTGGGGTCTTGCTGATTTCCTTGACTTTCTCATGGTCCCGTTGCCATCATCGTCATCAACAACTAATGTAGCTCTACTGTTGTAATTGATTTAGTGTCATGGACCAGAATATCCCATGGTGGCTATTATATACATATTAATATAGGCATATCCAAAAGATGCCTTTTCCCAAAAAATTACTGCTTACTTACATAAAGAGGTAACAAATCCTCACAGTCAGAGGAAGAAATACAACCAGAGTCAAAACCATCCAACTCACAGATACAACTGGCTAGAAAAATTGATCCCACTTGTTGGACACAGAAGCTGTGATCCGTGTAGCAATGATAAACTGTACTCTTGGCTTTTTTTGTTTTTGTCTTCTGCTCCCTTCTTCCCAAACCACCACAGCTCATTGCTTCAGTTGTCAACCAAAGTGCTGCATCCTTTAATGCCTGATCATTAGACCAAAATCTTAGAAGCACAGGTGCCTTTTGCTTTCAACTGTTAAAAATTCTTACTTACTTTAAGTATGCCATTGCAGCATATGAGCTTTTTAAGCTTAACCACCCAACAACAAGCCAAATACTGCTTCAGTGTCTAAACCATCTTTCTAACATCCTTTTGAAAGAAGTGATCTGGTACATTCAAGACGAATAGCTTCTTCCATTAATGGTCTTTCCCTTTAGGAATTTCTTTTTACATGTTTAAATATTGGAAGGCATATAGCATGAGGAGCTGTTCAATTTATTTTCTGCATATTGCTGACTGATGTATTCCTAAGTAGTTTCTCAAACTATTCTGTTCCAGTTCTTTGAACAGAGGGCTATTGAAGTCAGGCTATTATAATGAGGCAGCAATATCAAATACTGAATTCTTCTCTTTCATATCATACCAAGTGGGAACTCTGAATGTGATACTGTAAAAATTACCATATGCTTATGAGTACTGAGCAGAAGTGCGAGCTTGGTTTTGGAAATGTTTCAGAGCACATAAGAACCCAGAATTTTACTTCTGTTCCTCTTGAAATGCAAGACCGCTTCTCATCACTCCTTCTACCAGTCAGCTGATAGTGGCTATGTTTCTACCACAATTAAAAGCCCAATTTACACAGTGTGCTTTATGTCTGGTAAACATTCTCTTTGCTATGTTGCCTGCTGGACAGCCTGCCCAAACACGTCTGATCACTTTGACTCCCAAGATCAGCATAGCCACAGAGGTTTTGATGATACACTTAAAACACGTTGCAAGTTATTCCTGCATGCACATTATATGGCAATTGGTGAGTTTAATCTTTAGGGCAATTTTGGGGTTGCTCTTAAAGAATAATGTAACACAAACAATGACTTTTCTTTGGAAAGCACCTCCTGCAGCATATGGCTCATTTTACCCAGCTGTAGTTACATTAAAATTGAATATCTAACTTAGGGCAAACGTGTAGACTCTTTCCACAGTGAACAGAGATCCTATAGGAAGCAATTCATTCTCCTTAGGTGTGATGTCTAAAGTAAGAACACTAAATCACCCACATCTCTCCATGATATACAGTAGAAACATAGAAGACTACCTCAGTCTAGAAGCTTAACCCACGTTTAGTTAAATTTAGCTGAGAAGAATCCACCCTTAGTGCCTCAAGTACAATTATTTCCTGAAGAAATTAAATTCTGAACAATCGCTCTGAAGAGTTATTTGCATTCATCACTTCTCCAACTGCTCTGAAACAAAATATAACCATTGACTAGTTACAGAGGAGGCAGCATTTTCCAGTTAAGAAAAAATCTGTTCTTGCTTTCAGAAACATATTCACAGGACATCTGTATTAAACATCATACAAAAGACGTCAATTTTTCTAGATGGGAATGAAGAAGGAAGGGCTTTAACACATTTGTTGTGTGTTCTTCGATATAGGGAAAGCAATCTAATTTGTTTATTCAGGCTCAGGCTGAGCTGTTCTTGTATCTCCCCAGTTCACCACACAATATTAGCTTTTATAGAACTTATCATAGGTTTGCTCTTTCTCTTTACCAAACTGGATTCTGATTTATGGAAAGCAGGATGCAGTCAACTAATAGTTTAGACTACATATCAAAGAAATATTACATGCTGGCATGTATGTCTGAAAATTATGCATTTGTTCTATGTAACTAAAATGGAAGCATGGATATTATTCTGTCACAGCTCTTCTTTGTAGACAAATGCTATTGGATACAGAGTAGAAGTAGTTTAGTTAATAAATAAAAGGCCTAACATAACTGGGCAAATTACCTATGGAAAAAATACAGGCATTTAAAATATTCTTAGCTGAAACCTTTTAAAAGTTTTAAAGGCAACCTACCTAAGCAAATGAAACAGTTTAGTCTTGCATCTCAGTTCATCATTCAAGCAAACCACCACCTGCCAGGGCAGGTACTTCCTAGCAGAAGTTGAGAGATAGTTGTGATTTTAGAATTTACAGAGTGGGATTTAAACTTCCCTTTGACATAGAGATGTACACACATATGATCTTGAATGTGCAGATGTGCACTTGTTCTCAAGGAAAGAAATAAACCAGTATTAACCTGCAAACTAATGTTCTGCAACATATTTACAGTACATACTTAGTAGTTATACAGCAGGACAGAGTGACTTTTATGCATCTCAAGACATGAAGTAGGTATGGGTGCTGGAGGGGAACCAAGCTTCATAGAGTAGCTGGGACACTGAAGGCGTGAGGAGAGATTTTACTTGATGAACATAATCAGCTGTTTTTTCCAGTATAGGTAGCATGTGTTCAAAGCCTGTTTTAATAAAGTAAATACATTATTTTCTGTTAAAAAAAATTGTCTCCAATCTTTACATCTTACATGCTTTTAAAGAGACTAAGTTAATAGCACTGCATTTCTCAGCAGTGCGGACATATAGAAGTGTACCAGATGATTTCTGGATTACCATATACTCTGCACTATTTCACGTTTTATTCAGGACACTTCAAAAATGAAGTGCAGGGATCTGGCTGAGCAGGGTATACCAAACCAGAGGCTGAGAATCCAGCCCTCAAATTCTGTATGACTTAACCTATGAAAAAAGCTATTAATACGTCAGTGAAGGAATAGAGAGACATAAAGTTGTATTAGCTACCTAATCCTCCAATGAGTACTAAAATCAAAACAACTTATAGAATCATAGAGTAGTTAGGGTTGGAAAAGACCTTAAGGTCATCTAGTTCCAACCCCCCTGCAGGTGACACCTCACACTACACCGTGTCACCCAAGGCTCTCTCCAGCCTGGCCTTGAACACTGCCAGGGATGGAGCATTTACCACTTTTCTGGCAACCCATTCCAGTGCCTCAGCACCCTCACAGTAAATAACTTCCTTATATCCAACCTGAACTTCCTGTTTTAGTTTGAACCCATTACCCCCTTGTCCTACCACTACAGTCCCTGATGAAGAGTCCTTCTCCAGCATCCTTATAGGGCCCCTTCAGATTTTGGAACACAGCCTTTTCTATGAGGTTACCACACAGCTTCTCTCCCCCAGGCTGAACAGCCACAACTTTCTCAGCCTGTCTTCATATGGGAAGTGCTCCAGCCCCCTGATCATCCTTGTGGCCCTCCTCTGGACTTGCTTCAACAGCTCCATGTCCTTATGTTGAGGGCACTAGAACTGCACAAAGTACTCCAACTGGGGTCTCATTAGAACAGAGTAGAGCAGTAGGATCACCTCCTTCAACCTGCCAAGTAATCCACTTAATCATGGGTATAGTTTATGGGTGTAGGGATTTCACTAAAAACATTAATTTTACATAAAACTGTCAACTTAAATTGCTCTGTAAAATAATTGCATAAAATTCTCTCTTCCTTGTCTTCATGGTTTTGCCTACAGAACAGCTTTAAATGCTGACACTGCAAATCTGCCTCTAAGATTGTTTTGCTCCAGGTGAAATTGTAAATTACTCGTTTATTGACAAAAATTGGTTTAATTAAAATTGATTTAAAATTAAACACAAACTTTTTTGTGTACACATACAAATTGATTTACAACTAGCTCAAAAAAAAAACTTAGCAGAATTTAGTACATAAGAGCTGGTTTCAAACTAGTAAATATGTTCACACCGCAGCTTGCAATGGTGTGATTGGGGTAAACTTTTTACAGTTCTTTTTAAATTAGTGGAATTTCTGCATGCACACCCAAGTCATCATCCAGATCATGGCAACAGGTAAGCCATGCCACATCTAATTGAAGGCACAACATTAAAAGGGACTTCATTGTTGCTGATGTTGTTCTATTGTTGTTCCTGAGGTAGAAGCAGTGAAGGATCTCTTTTTCTAGCTTTTGAGTGCACACACAATGAAAAGATAGCATATGCCACAAAGAACTCAGAGCTAGCATCTGCTTTGCAGAATTTAACTTGCCCTAATTTTTTCTGAAAGCAAAACTTTTAATTTGCGTCTTTAAAAAATGCTAAAACTGCAAACTTGAATAGTTAAAATTTCACTGAAAAACAGTGAGAAGTGACTATTTTCCATGACTAAAATGTGATTCCATTCTCTGACTACCTCTAATAACAATAAGCTTTGCTTTTAGTTAATGTGTCATGGGCTGGCCATTGACATACCTTGAAGAGCAAATATATTATTGGATGATTCCTTGAAATACACCCAGGAGTCTTTTATGCTCCCACCAATTCTCTGGGAACTTCACCACCGACTTCAACAGTTGAGGTTAAGCCTATTTTGAACAAGTCTAAAAATTCTCAGTACAACAAATGGATTGACATGGAACACTTGAGCATTGTACTTCACAAGGCTTTTTAGGTATCTGAAAGACAAAGCTTTACCAGATAAATACCCTGAAGAATATCTACCAGAAACCCACTATTGTAAAAACCTTCCCTAATAAATCTTTGGCACAGTAAGTTCAGTACTGCAGCTAAGACATGAATCTTGTATTCACAATGACATTAATGTATATATTCATATACATTCATATGTACTCCCACATTCCTGAAAGAAAAATCTATGTGCATTTTGAAGCTTGTGCTGATATGTGAGTATTGCCTGAATTGAACCCTTTATTTATTTAAGGTGGCACTACCAGTGTGAAAATATAACGGTTCTGGGTCTTGTCATTCTGGTTCTTTCAATTACTTTGCTTTCCAACGGTTTCTTCAGGAAAGGGAAAATGAGCAGGGGTACTTACCTGGAAAATACAAGCAAAGACAAGGACATCATTAGCACAACGCTGGCACAAATCTAGAATGGAGGAAACTAGACAGATTGACATTCTTTATAACAGCACTTTGACAGAAGAAAGACTAACAACTCTATGGGAAAGATTGGGTCCTGACTGCTCCATGACAAGCACTGGGTTTTAATTCCCAGTTTTGTGAACGGTTTGGCAGGGGGTCTGAACTACTTGACCAGAGGGTGTTTTTCCATAATATTATTGGAGAGAAATTACGTCTATTCAGCAAGGACAGGAAAAAGCATTTGAGGACATGGAGAGGTGACCTTTTAACAACGTTAGAAAGGGACTTTGAAAGAGGCCAGTTACAAAGAGCTAGAAAAAAGGAATCTTAGAGAGGAAGAGAGAATAAAGAACTAGGCATTAAGAGAGAAAACAAAATAATAAAAAACATCTTAGGATACTTGAAGTCAAATGACAGGGATCTAGTTGTATCTACAGGGGGAAAAATGTCGGGTTTGTATCATCCCAGAGATACCATGGTACATACCAGTGACAGCAGAATACAAGAATGCTAATGAAAATGGGCAGAGAAAATCAGGGGAGGATGATTCATACTGTACTGTATCCAGGAAGAGACAAGAGATACTGTTTTTGGTGAAAATTAACAGGAGGAAGTAAAAGTATGCCATGATTGGGGTCTATTTTATGTAACAGGCTATAGCTGTATTCAAAAGGAGGAAGTCAATTTTTCTGACTTATTCTGAGCATAAAGGTATTCATATTCAAAAATCTTGCCCATAAGACAATAGTGAATTTCAATTACTTAAGTGCCAGTTAGAAAAATGATATGGCAGGACATAAAAGGTCTATCAAATACTTGTAGTATTTTAAGGATGATCTTTTGCTTCACAGGACAGAGGAAGTTATGAGAGGCATTACCAAGTTGAACTGCATGACCAGTAGGGAGGAACTCATTTTTTTTTAAAGGCAGAAGGTAAACTGGGTGAAAGTGATCATGACACATTTTACCAAAATAGGCTTCTCTACTCTAAGAGGAAGAAAAAGCATGCCTGCACTGCCAACTATGGATTGCATTGTTATGTAGAAACAGTTAAGCTAACTTTAATGAAGCTAGTCTAGGTACTAAAAGCAGGCTCATCATAACAGCATGCCATTTTGGACGAGTTAATTAATCTCCTTTCTGGTTTAGGCCTGAGCTCATTTAAAGCTAACGTAGATTTTCTGCAGAGAACAGACTCATTTTTAATTAAACGTACAATACCAAGCTATATAGATGTGAACAAAAGGAAGCTGGGAAGCGTAAGTAGACTGTGCTAACATCACGTTAAGAGCTCTTCAAGGATTTGCAAAAAAAAGAAGTCACAATAAGGGGACATAACTGAAAAGTAACATAAAAGAATTTGCATAAAAGAATAAAATCATAAAGCCTACAGTACAAAATGAGCAATAGGTAAAAAAGGGTATAAAGGTCAACAAGAAAATGTTCTGGAAATAGAAGTGCCTAAATACTTAGTTAAATTTATCTTACCACAGAATTTACAGAAGGAATGAGTTAAAAGCTATTTAAATTGTATATATTCAGGTTAATAGGGCCTGAAGAAATTTACTTAATAATATAGCAAAAATTATCTCTGAGTTGCTAAAGGACTTACATGGGTTCAAGGAGACTAGGAAAAGACAAATTGTGTCTAAGGAAAGCAGATCCAAAGCTATAGATTAATTCTTATCTCAATGGATATTCTAGAAGAAATTCCATGATGAAGAAGATAGTATAAGTTTGCCCAGAACAGATGCTCTCACACTAGTCTAATTCCCTTTTTTACAATCAATTTTAGTGATTCAGCAGAAAAAGAGAAACAGTAAGTATCATAGATCTTGAGTTTAGTATAAGTTACACACTGTCTCATGACAATTCCGTTAAAACAAAAAGCATGGAAATGTAGTTTTCATTAATCCACTAACAATTGCCATGCTGCTTGCAGAAATCAAACCTGGAGAGCATTTGCAGTGAGAACCCATAGGTTCTGTTAGTCATTTCAGTTCTATTCATTATTTCCATTAGTGATCTGTAAGAGGCAACAGAATATTGATATATGTATATAAAATAAAATTTAAAAAAAATCTGGTTTTCACCAACCTAGGAGCTAGAAGACAGAATCAGATTTCAAAACCAGTTTCATAACTTGGATAAATGTCTAAATTTGGGATGAAATTATCAAGGCTAAGGCAAAAATATTATACCTGAGAACTTAAACATATGACATAAATTGTAGAGAACTAGGTGGCAGTATGTTAGAAAAAGTTCTGAGAAGTTTCTGTCATAGGAAGAAAAGCAAGTTATTTCTGGGATGTATTCACAGACGCTCCTCTCATGTGCAATACATGGGACATAACTACTGCACTCTAGTTGGTGCAGTAATTATGGACTGCTATAAGGGGCCTTGAGATAAAAACGAAAGTCACACTGAAAAGAAGCCAGAGTAAAGCTGTTAGAATAAATCATTTATTATGAGTGCAGTCTATGAGGAAAGTGAACAGAATTGTTTCGTTTACGAGAAGATGATATGCACATCTGCGCATATAAATAATTGTATAAATAGATATATATTTACACACACATTTATTAAAAATGTGAACAGCTTAACAAATAGGGTCAATTTCCACTGAGAGTATGACAACAAGGTACACAGCAAACAAAATTCAGGTTGGATACTGGACACGTACATATTCATAAATGTTGTTAGACATTTGTACAAGCTGCATGCAAGTGTTGCGGATTTCTTTCAAATCAGTGCTTTTACAAATCAATTAGACAAATAGCTCTTGAGGATATCACTGTTTTCCAAACTGATCTCTCACGCCCTTAGATTCTGTGAACTACTCCTAAGAGGTCCCTGGAAGACAATCAGCAAAACTCTTGTCAGTACATACAACACTTCTCAAATTCACGTTTATGGATCCACAAGTTGAAGTGTTCAGAGTTACACTGATCGACATAACACTCAACTCAGTTTTAGTACAGAGATTAGATCAGGCAATCAATTGAGGCCAACAAGCCTGTATTTCTTTTTATTCCTATGTGAAAAATTGCACCTCCTCTGTGAATAATTTTTACTTATAAAATGCAAATAGCAGTATTTTCCTACCTCACAATACAACCAGTAAACACATTATAAATTGTTCAAATACAACGGCAGCGATACAAACTAATGGATTTTATTTACCTCAGCCTCCCTCAGAGGTTTTAAAAACCTGGCAGAACTCTGCCACACGCAATTATGGGCTGAGGGAATCTCACTGAAATAGCATTATATTTACGATTTTTATTCAAACGCAATGAAAACGCAATAAACGCGTCTTCCGCGATGCACTGAAGTGTGCGCTTCCCTCCGTGAGCACACGACGCCGGCTCTCGGCCGGGGCATTACAGGAGGGCTGCATTTCCGTGCTCAGCCTCCGCTGTCATGAGCCGCGGACACTGGTGACATCTCCGTGCCAGCCACAGTAAAAATAAACCGACAGAAGCCTTAAGGAAAGAGACGGATGGAGTGTGGTTGGGCAGCCGCGTTCCCGTGGGAGGTGGGTCCCCTCGCCAAGACCCGCTGAGGCACCTCAGCATCCCCGGCCCTTCCCCAGCCTCTCCCGGAGGCCCCAAAGGGCCGCAGAGACGCCGCAGCCCGGGCGAGGGCGCAAAGTCCTCGGCGCCAACTAGTTTCCCTTCCCCAGCAGCCTGTGCCACCTTCCCCCCCCGTATAAACGGGGCGGGCGCCGCCGGCCGGGCCCGCCAGACCGGCTGCCTGCCTGCGGCCGCGGGCCACCCGATCTCCCCGCCTCCCTGAGGCGAGGCGAGGCGCGGTCCGGCCTGGCTCGGCCTAGCCTGGCCTAGCCTAGCCTAGCCTACTGTGGCGGTGATACCTCGGCCGCGCGGCTCCATGGCTTTCATCCGCAAGCGGCGGCTGGAGCGGGAGCTCTACTCCAAGGAGAGGTGAGCTGCCCTGTCCCCGACTCGGCCTTGGCCTCGCGGCAGGGGCAGGGAGTGGGGACGCCGCCGTCTCCCTCACCGCTTAGGGAGACCCGGGGGGCGGGGGCCCGGGCCCGGCGGAGCCCTGCGGCCGGCAGGACTGCCAGCAGAGGGTCTGGTCCGCTGGTTGCAGCGCAGCGCAGCGCCGGGACGGGGGTCAGCGGCTGTGCACGGCGTGTTGCTGACGGTGTTGTTACTGTGTGAACCAGCTGGCTAATGATTCCCGAGAGTTAGGGCTCGGATAGGCCGTAGAATAGACCTGGGGAAATACGAATGCTGATCGCCTTTCATAAATCGCATGAAAATAGCGTTTGTAGGTTTCTGTTTATTTGTTTATTGTCAGTTGTGTTCGTGGCATGGAGTTGGAGCTCTGCTTTACTATGGGTGCAGTTTATTTGGTTTTTTTTTCCTGAACATTATAATCAGCGTATCGTTAGCCCTTAAATTATAGACTCTGTGCTGGCTCTTTAAAGTGTTGAATTCAATAGTCCATTCCTGCTTTCTGACTCTAGTCTGTATTTTACGCTCCTGTGGCTAGCTGAACGTACAACAAAGGCTTCTCACGCGTGCCCTAGTATATCCTGAATCAACTCTCTTATTTTTAGGTAGTGTCCAGCTTTCTTTGATGTGGCTTATCTATATCTGGTTTGTCATGAAGTTTCAAAACCCTTTCCTGTGGTAGTATTGCCATGTTGGGAAATCTCTGAGGTGAGAGTGATAGGTCAGCCTGGGTCAGACAGTGGAAGGACACAGGTGTCTTTTCTGGAGGGACCAAGACTCCCCAGCTGGCTCCCATTGCAGGTACCAGGAAGCCAGCAGGCACAGGACAAGAGAGACTTGTTACTATACAAGCCCTGTGCAAATTCCTGCTGCAGGTTTGCTGGTCACACAGTACTGTTTATTGTTGGTGAGAAAAGCACATGACAAAGAGCTTGGCTCACTTTGTCAATATAATTTCTGATTCATAGCTATTCAGCCTGCGAAGCTACTGTAACTCTTGAAGTATTGTTGGAGTACAGACATTGGCGGGCTGCTGTGGTTTCAGTTGTGTATGAAGGGCTGATGGAGAATGGACAAACTTCCTGTGCAGAAAGAAAAGTGAACAGTTTTTAATTTTGAAATAGAAAAAGTATATAGAAAGTGAGAATGACTATATTAGCTGTGTTAAGGATTTAATGTAAATAGTCTCCTTTTTTATTGAGAAGCTGAGAAAAAGCCAAAACTCATCAGACTTGTCACAAAGAACTCAAGTGGGAACTAAGTCTTTTCTAAAAAGCCCTGAAAACAACCCCAACATATCAATATGCGTCAGCATTACTGATATGCAGTTATTGAAAGTCTCTAATGAGAAATGTTTTTCTTTGCTCATTGTTGGAAGCATTTTAGGATAATCTTATTTGAGTTTGTAATATAAGCACTTCATGAAAGTCTTGTTCTCATTTGCACTGATAGGTTTTTGTCTAAGTATCTGCAGTGTCATTTCTTTTCTTCCACTTGACGAACAATTAATATCTGTGTAAAATAAAAGTAATTTTCTATATATTTTGTACCTTATATGAGGTATTTCACCGTCCTTGTCTTCCTATGCTTCTCTGAATTGGGTTATCTTGAAAACAATTAAGTGATTTAAAAGATTTTGGGCTCTGAAGTAGCAAATGAGAAGTATCAATTTTTTCCTCATAGTTCCGCTTAAAACAACAGCAAAAAAGCAACAACAACAACAAAAAAAAACACCCAGCTTTTTATCACCTAATTGATTGGGTAGCCTCAGACAGCTTTTCTTTTTGCTTACTGGGTAACTGTTACAGACACCAACTCCTGCTTCATAGCTTCTCATGATTTATGTAACCTTGGTGTAGGTACTTCCTAGTGAGATGACGAAGACTTTTTGAAGCTTTGTGGCAACTGCATTTCTGATGTGGTTGGTTGGTTGGTTTGTTGCTGCTACTACAAAAATACAAGCTGTAAAAGTTCTGGCTAAGAGTACCATGGAACTTAGTAGGCAAAAGGTTAATCATCTTATGCAGTTGCTTTAGGGGGGAAGCAAGATCAGATTGGTTTTAAGTGATCTGAAAAAATTACTTCCTCTTAACTAATCAGTTGAACTGCATTAATACCTGGTTACATAAACCTGCTTTTCTATGAGCAGTTTTCTAGAAGAAAACAAGAAACCACTGAAATGTCCTGTGTGTGCACACTGATAACAAGGAGCAGGTTTTACTTTACATTTGATTAAATAAATCCATCTCTCTACTGAGCAGGGTTTATTCTGGCAGGAATTTTGCCTTCAAATTCACCCATATCATGTATCTGTTTCATCTGTGTTTATCGCTGTTTTTGCCCAGGTATTCAGAGTAAAGAAAGCTAAGATATGTCCCTTTGTGTAAGGGTGTGTGCGCACTTACCCAATTTATTTAATACCTAAAATATTTAGCATTCATTAACAGGAATTCTTTTTAACAAATAATTGTAGTTGCAAAACTTGAAATTGACTGTTGTGCTGTTTGGCTCAGAAGGTTGTTGCTCTCTTTATAACTGAGTTCTTGGTTCTGTTGGTGGTTTGCCCAAACATGGCATTGATACAGAGACTCTTTATAACAGTTCTGCTGTTTTGTCTTGCATGTTGATTGGCTTCCTGTTTGAGCGGTTTTTCTCTTCTGCTGGGAACATCACTCACACGAAGCAACCAACTGGCAGCACATGTAGGCCCTTGGATGGCTCTTTTATATGATGGCTGCTTCAGCATTTGGGTATTTTTTGGGAAATCTGTGCCCTTATCTTAATCTCTTGGGACAAAATACACATAATGAAGGCTTTTATTCAAATGTCAGC